GTTAGTTTTCTAAGTTTTTCAAATCAATGAATGCATATTTCCTGCTTCTTTTCCCTTCTACTCTATGTTCTCTGATTTTATTCTTCATAGAATAATTAATATGCTTATATAAATGTGCATATAGATAAAAATTTGAGATTGAAGAATATTAAGAGAGACTGACCTGAAATACAATGAGAGCGATGAGCCATTTGATCTTTCGGGTAAGTTGGTGTCAGAGCTTCATTTGCTATAGATTTGCAAGGGTATTGTACCCAATTGGAGAGCTCTATTGTTCAGCGTCTAGGTATGGAAGAGCAGCTATGGCTGCCGACTAAAGAGAGATAATTTCTTAGTATATTAATTTCCTATTATTTATTTTTTGCCGTTATAGAAAGGGGTAGAGAGAAGGAGAGATAGATAATGATGATTTCTGTTTTGTCAAAAACCAAAAGCCAAAGCATAAATCTGTTCAAGGAATTAATGCACCTAATTGGCTTTGTAAATTATACAGAGAGAGAGAGAGAGAGACGGAATGCCTTCTTTGGCATTAAGCAGCATTCATTATATTTGATATGTCATTAACTTACATTTAGAAATAAAATAATTGTGGTATTGTTCAGAGATAAAAATTAAATTAGTGGCAGAGAACAGAAAGTGAAGAGGTGGTCTGTTGAAAGAATAAGCATTGAATCCAGTGAATTAAGATGGTTCAAATGCCATGTTAGGAAGTAATGGCATGCCAAAAGTTCAAAGTCATTATTGCTACTAAATGGGGAGGGAGGGAGAGAGAGAATGAGTTGGAAACAAAGAAAATATGCCAGTATAGTTGAGTGAAACGTTGATGTGGTAAGTATGGTAATTTTATGCCTAGATATGATATGGATTTTACAGTATTGCAGATATTAAAAGGAATCACAAGATAAGATATTGCAATCGAATCAAAAGCTTTGCTTGCTTTGTCATTAAGTGAGTTTGTATATTGTGTTCTATGAGATGGTCAAAGAGACCTTCCATTGTGAATTTCTTTGATTTTGGCCACAATCAAAATGTTCATAAGGTTTTTGGAAACTTAAGGATGATTTATATTTCTCTAATTTGAAGTTTGAACGAGTGAAAGTGGTCAAAATCAAGAAATCCGAAAATTTTTAAATCTTGATTTTTTGTTTTAGGTTTTCTTAATCTTGAGTTTTGGTTTGAAAGAAGGGCCATTCTTAAGGTTTTTGGTGCCTGGAACTTGAATTTGGTGTTAGATTTTAGGAAAAAAATGACATTTGGTTGATCAATTTTGAGGTTGCAGAGCTTCGGGTTTTGGTAATGTTCGACTTTGGAGCTCAAATTCGTGAGTTCTGAGTAACAGATTGAACGGAACCTGACACTAGATGATAGAGTACTCAATTACAAAGATTATAGATTTTGAATCACTTAAAAAGGTTGAGAAATAAGAGAGAAATTAAAGAAAAACCGAGAGGGAAACTTGGGGCAAAATGACCCAGCTAGAGGTTGAAGATGATGAATAGTGCCCAAACAACCCAACCCATCATGATGATGCGTGAGACACCCCATGGGAGTGTTGTTTTGATCAAAACAATCCTCTCTTCAAGGGTTTTCCAACCCGCCTAAATTTGACTTCATTTGGAAATAGTTTCATTTTAGGACGTTTTCTTGATTTCAAGCTAATTCGATGTCGTACAACTTAGTTTTTCAACTTAAAGGATGTTTTGAGTTTAAGTCTGTCTCGATAATAACATGATGAATCCTAATATTTCATGCACATCTTATTTTGATAGCATTCGGTGTTGAAATTGACAAACTAATTTGATACGTCGGTGTGTTTTTCATATCCCAAGATGAGCTTGGCATTTTCATATTCCTCATAATATTACTATTATTTTTGAACTACTATTACTTTAAATATATTATATGATCCGATTATTTGCTAAATTCGAGACATTTTTAGTCCAAATAATTTGTCAATCATATTAATGGTAAATTTTCTCTTATTCGAAGATCTACTCAGTTTTTCATACTTGTTATGATATTCATACTTTTTCTACTACGTCATAAACTTAATCATCATGTTCTCATATTTTGATTTGTTAAACTCAGATATTTTTTCTCCGATTGTATTTTTTGAAAACTATACTAATTATGATATTTCCACTTCGGTTATGGAACAAAGTATTTTTGAAAACTATTTTTCATAAAAAACGTGTGTGCACATAGGATTCAACATTAGAGGGCTTATGATGTTGAGTCCGTAGAGGGACTCATGGTGTCATAAGTACCTGGAGGCCCATGGCCTTCGGGTTTGGGAACTGGTTGATGTAGTAAGGAGCATATCTTCATGGTGTGAAAATCCCTAAAAAGTTTGATGATAATTGTGAAACTTAGGATGCTTACTTTGTTTTCTGGTATAACACAATATTTTTGATATTCAAAAAAAGGTTCTTTATTTATTTATGCTTCCAAAGCATGTTTTTGGATATTGATCCATTGTTTTATGTACTCAAATATTTCATTCTTTGATGCTCGACAAAGAATCTTTTTAAATATGTATTGACTATATACTTTTCATCCACTATAAAAAACTATCTATTTTCAAACTTGTTTATCTTGGAATATGGTTAACCTACTAAGCATATTGTTTGGGGATGTTTACTAATATTTTAAAAATGATTAGCTCGTCGGGAGGATATATGTTGGCAATTTGGGCTTTTTAGAGACAAATCAATTCATAAAAAGGTTACTCATAAATTTGTTTTTGAATAGTTCTGAAATTTTACAATCATATCATAAAGAAATATTGTAAATGATAATCAATGTATTACTTCGAGTTACTTTGGAATAATATTATTAGATCACCCTCGGAAATAGAAAATGAAATCTGGGGTAATGTTATTTAATACGTAAAGCGAACCGAAACGAACAAGTCTCTTGAGGCCTAGGCGAGAGGCGAAGTGAGCGCTTCATCGAGGTGAAGCGAACAATAAAAAAATAAGTAAATATTTTAGTTTAATTACCTCTAAATATTCAAGTTCTAACTTTACAAATACTAAATTTTTAATGCAACCAAAACTATAAATATTTAAATTGAAAAAAACTATCATTTATGGTAGTACTCTTCAAATTTACACCTTTGCCGGAAAAAAATTTGGTCATTACTACTCAACCATCACAGATGAAATCCTTTCCGTTACAAATAGGAAGAAATAGCAAAAATTATATGATTTTCTATTAAATTAGTTATTTTCGAGAGAAACAATTGAACTAGCATAACAAAGCAGCATAATAAAAAATGAGCGATCTAAAAACAACAACAACAAAAATTAGTCTAAACATAACTAAATAACACAGCATCACATAAGAAGTAGAAGAGAGGTTCCAGCAAAACTAGAAATAGAATCAACAAGATAAAAAAAATAGAAACAAAACAGAAGAGGAGGAAGCAGAATCAGCATGATAGCAACACAGTAAAGAAAATAGAAACATAGTAGAAGAGGAAGAGAAAGTTCCAGTAGAACCAAAAATCGAAGAGGGGAAGAATTAGAAGAGGAGGAAGAGAAGAAGAAAAAGAGAAACATCAGAGGACATAGACATACCTTCAGTGTCTGTCTCAATCTGATGCAGGCCAGAGAGTTTGCTGCAGTGGGCTTCCCTGGTGAGTGTTGCAAGCCATTTTTCCCTAGTCAATCTAGTTCAGGGTCAGAAGAATAAGAAGAAGAAGAAAAAAGGGGAGAAGTGACATACTTTCTTGCGAACGATGTAAGAAGAGGAGAAGAGGTTTCCCACTGTTTGTTAGCTCAAATCAATTTGGTGATTAGGATTAGTTTACATATATATAGATGAGGCTCAATCGGCTATGGTTAACATATCTAATTATCTATCTAATTTACATAAATCCAATGACCAGTAATAGTTTAAGACAAAAAGATAAAAAGTTAATTAAAGCGATCGCTTTATTTGCTTTTTTCGCTTCTTCACCTTTGCTCGCTTTTCTCTTGTTTATGTTCGCTTTGCTTGGCATGCTCAATGCCTCACTTTACTTTTTGCCTATGCGAGCGCCTAGGCTCGCTTTTCACACTACTGATCCGGGGCATGACAAAATAGGACTAAAACTAGGATTCAAATGCTTATATCTTCAGCCAATTGACCATTCAACCTAATCCCCAAATATATTCGGTGACACAACATTAGATTCACATAAAAGAGGCTTTGTGGAGGCCTTTAAGCAATGCTAAGATATTTTCCTTTGTGGAAATCAAGAAGTTATGTATGCCTCCAATTTGCAGTTAACCTGTTTCTCCATTGAGCAAGGTTGTATGTAACACCCAAGCAGTTCTGCACCTTCCATATAAAATAGGAGGCCAATTAGGTCTAAGAGCTTTGAATAAGTTTTTAGTTGAGAGTCATTGGTGAAATGTTCATCGGGGTATTGACTGAAGCCATGGCTTAACTTTCGACTTTTGCCTTTCGAATCAATTTGGTGGGGAGGAATATAGAGAATCTATGCATATTGGAAAGGATCTAGGAACTGATCTTGGGTTAAAGTATTTCTACTTTCATAGTATCAACACCTTTCCTTTACATATGATGATTTTGGTTGAAAGTGTTAATAATTTTTCAATCTCATGCGTATTTGATTTTTTTTTTCTCCAGAAAAACTATCTTATGGGAGAGTGTAAGATTTGAATGAATCAAAAAATTTGCAAGAAGTGAAGCCTAGGAAGTCTAATAAGATAGTAAAAGAAGACTGAAAGTTTGGTCAACCCACCACTTATTCTCCCAAAAGAGAAATCTATGCCTATCTCCATCTAGGTACATGATTTGAAGGGAGAAAAAGAGTATACCTAAGATATGGTGTTCAAATGGCCAAATAAGTCTCGTTACGGGGTGAAAAACATGGAAACATGCACCATTAGATTTTATATAGAGAACACATTTTCTTTTACGATTTTTATATTTGTGATTAATCTCTTTTTGACTCTTCACTTTATGTCAACTTTCTTACTGTCATATTCATGTATGGGTATTTAGCAGAAAGGAGGCTTGATATTATTCTTGATCCGCAACAAATTGTCGGTAGGGAACCCTTATATTTGTTATATATGTTTAAACTCAGCAACTGGTGAGTAATCCTACACATATCTTAAGATAGAAAAGGCTTTGGGTGGAGATGATATAATGTCTCTTTGAATCTTTATTTGTTAGGCTTGTCACTTTGGCCCGGGTCAAGCTACTATGCTCAACATTCCTTGACTCATTTGTTAAGAAAATTTTGGATTTCTCATTCCTCCATTCTCCATTCTATGTGATAGGACGCCATCAACCAAAATGGATGCGATACAAAGCTAGAAAGAAGCATCCTTATTTGTACCAGATTGTAGTTTTTGGAGTAGAAGTAGTGGGTGATGAACCCCCGTTGTCATTGAACACCATGACATTGGGATGCTCACTTGCTTCAATTGATAAAAGTGAGACTCAGGTACTATTTTTAGACCATGTTTTTACAGAACCCACATAATCCTAAAAGACCTTACATCCTATATTCTATTTAGTGTTTTTGCAGGACCCCATAATCCTTAAAGATTAATTCTACACAGTCTTAAAAAATTAACTTAATGATTAAAAAATTAAATTTGTCATTGATTTAACAGTGAGTTCCAGTATTTATTGGGACCTACTACCTATTCAATGGTAATAATTCATCAAGTCAAGTTTTTAGGTCACTTTTTTAAGTCTATTTAGCATTTTCCATCCTAAAAAGACATCGAAATCAGGATTTTAGCAATTTCTCACATAGTCACATTATTCAATATTTACATATTTATCATACAATTGCATAAAAAGCCATGAACTATATGTCTTTTCTTTTCTTTCCGAAAATCTTGCCCCTTATCCCTAATGGGCTCAAACTTGCATTAACAACAGGTTGGATGGTTTTGAACCTTTAGGCCATTGCTTGACAAAGGATTAAGATCTCGTTTCAAAATCTCATTTCAAAAAGGTTGAAACGTTTTCGTTTCCATGAAAATCGAAATGAATTAGTTATTGAATATCTTAAGTCCCATGTTTTGAGGTGCTTCGGTATGTTTTGAAGTGTTTTGCTATGTTTCAAAAATTTTCCTTAATTTCCATTCTGTTTCCAAAACATTTTTGAAACGTTTTCGTTTCTTAGGAACCAAAGCAATTTGCCAAAATCAATTTTTATCCCTGTCCTTGACCTCATTCTTGTATGATATATCTAATTTCGTATTCTATAGACACTTCCATCTCTTTAGTTGGGTCCCATTTTCTTAAATTTACTTGTTGGACATAGCAAACTTCTGTAAACATGTCCCACCTGACACCTGCAGCTGTGGTCACGTGTCATAGAATTTGATACAAGTTCGTTCATTTCTTGGGCATATGTTCTATACTTTTCATTTGATGTACTTCCTTTTCTAAAAGACTGCACATCTATGATTACGTACACGGTTGGAGCTACCCTCTAAGGTGTGGGGGCAGTTGTCCCCACTGATTTGTGAAGAAGACTGTGATATGTAGTATAATAAAAATATCATTTTGTTAATTTTGTTACATTGCCCCCTTCAAGTTTTCAGAAATTTGTATAGTGTCCCTCCTTTTGTTTTTGGTTAGTTAATGATCCACTCGCCCCCTAACCTAGTGAAATATTCTAACTCATCATATGTATTGCCCAAACCCTGATCCTTGTTTAATGCACTTCCTCTTATTTTTTGACAATTTAGTTGCTCATAAACCAATATTATATAAACATATGCAAATGGTAAAATATACTAGCCTAGAAGCGCTTTTGCTCTTTCTCAACAACATGGACCATGAACTCAACTAGGCTTCATAACAAGATGAAAAATAATTTTGTACGTACTTTTTGGTTGTGTATATTAAAAGAAATTAGTGAAAAATTTAGCATAGAATTAATCAATAACAGTCGATTATTGGGATTTATAACAAACGTAGGTTGTGTTTCAATTTAATACATGATTGAGTTGAAATGTACTATGAAAAAATTATTGTCTTGGTCATATTTTAGTAGGGCTGAATTGATATTGTTTTTATTTTTGTAGTCTTGGATCATAAAATATTTCTCATACTTGCACTAGTGAATTTCTTTATATGAAGAACACCCAATTTATTCCTTATTAATGGAGGTATGGAAAAAATTCTAGTACCAATTGGTTGATTGTTTTCATTGATGTTTTTACCTCGTCTAAAATAGAATCCCGGCTCCGCCGCTGCTTATGTAATTGGTTATTGTTGTAGCTGTTCCAGGGTGCAGAATTTTATTGTTGATGGTGATGGCACTTTGTCAAGGTTTGTATCAGTGGATTTTCATAGCTTGTCTCTTTATGTGAATAGTGTTTGTCATAAAGCACTTATTTTCTAGTTTTGGGATCCTAGACTACGCACTTCCATTAAGCTTAATATTATTTTGTTCTGTGATAGTTCACGTTGGCTTGTTGACATTAAAGCTTATACAACTGGGTTCTAGAGAATTAATCTATTGACAAAGCAATTAAACTAACATGTTCTACATAGAACCCCATTTTGGCAGTGAATTTCTGCTGTCCAAACAAGTGATACTGGGATCATAGGTACCTAGGTGCCCTTTTATTGTGGTGCACAACCCTACCTAGATCACCATAATTCCCCCCCCCCCCCAAAAAAAAAAAAAACCCATTTACTCCCTGATACTATATGTATATTTGTTATTTTAAACCTATACTTTGATTCATTGTGAGTTGAATATTTCTCAAATTAATTATATGCAAGAGTTGCAAAGTAAATTGCGATCCAAAACAACCAAGTCTACTCCCATCGCACCACACATCGACAAAGCATCGTATTGCATTTGGGTGCCTAATCGATCCAAGCTCTAGGTAACATTAGTCCAAACTCACCTCAATTGGCCCAAAATTTTGTTTTCTATTAGGAATTAGGTGGGTTGCATGTCAAACAAGGTAGGTAATGCTAAATTATTGATCATAGAAAAATCTGTCGCTTTTACATACATGACCTCATAGAACATTTTAGAAATTTGAAAAACATATTTATCAGGAAAAAAAGAGAAAAGATGACTTCGTAGCCATTCATAATTTTCCAGGTTTGGAGGCAGTGGAATGTTAGAAAACTGAATTCAATTGTATTTGATGTCATCTTGATGGTCAATTCTTGATTAGTAATCCATGTCTTACCAAACTTGGGTCAAATACCAAAAATAAATTCCAAAGGACAGGTTGGATTGGTTGGGCATGGATTTGAACTGCTGAATGTTCGACTAAGTTTTTCCTAATTTTCCTTGCAATTTCCTGATGATGAATTTTGCCAGGCCTACACCTTTGTTGCTGTTTGGTGGAGTTCGTGATAATTCTTCTCAGCTTAAGGTTAGACATTAAAATCTGTCAGTGATATCCCTTCCATAACACTATGTTTTCTAATGTCGGTTGTGATTTTGCAGTTGCGAAGTAATGTCAGATATCTTTCATCTGCAGGTGCCATATTCTCTGTTCCATTCTATTTAGAATCTCTTCTTAATTTCCTATGATTATATATCTCTTGGATGCTAGCTTTAACTTGAAGAAGCTTGTGTGGTTTTCATTCTGTTCCAGTTCTCTGTTTTGATTGTTTAGCCCCTAGTTCCTATTCGTAAATGTGCTTAGGTTCTTGTCTGTGAACTTGGTATAGGTTTCCCAATTTTATCTTTAGGACAACCTTGACTGCTTTTCCAAATTTCCCCTCAAGATGATAATTAGTAATTCATTTTTCTTTCGGTATATGGAGTTTTATACTACTTAGTCATGAACTTCCTGCTGCTACTTGCATTGGATGTCACAATGGTTGGTTGTTTGGTTGAGCCAAGTATTAAGCATGTGATTCAGGTATTATCACATGTTAATCTCAGATTGGCATTATTATAAGTTTCAAATAATTTAGTCGTAGTTCCTAAACTCAGCATCTATGTTTTAAATTTCAATTATTTTTAATTTCAATTTTTAACCATCCTTCTTTTGGGGATGCAAGTAGAGTGGGTCGGAGACTCGGAAGTCAACCCGCCATGCTTACCCTAAGCTATGCCAGCCTTTGTCTAAGCCCAATCCAATGCAAATCCTGTTTTTCCTTTTTGATTGTTTAGCCACCAGCTCGAGTTCCTCTATACTAACATAGAGGGCGTTTTGGTTTAGGCAAAGAGGGACAGGATTTAGCTGTCTATCAAGTTATCTAGGCTATCTTTTATCTTGGTATGAAATACTTGAAATGGTGAACAAGTGAAGTGCAGACAAACAAATGGAACTTATTTGAGTTAGGGGGATATCAAAAACAGTGAAGGTGGAGAGCAGGAGTAAAGAGAAGTGACCGAGAGCGACCTGCGGTGCGGCTGGGGTTTAAGTTAAAATGGTCAAGTTACTTTGAAATTTTCATAGGTAGCCTTACCCTCATTTTAGAGAGGCTGATCACCAAGCTTAAAAGAGCAAATTGATACATATATAAATTGGTATTTGTGCTCCTATATATGTAAAGGACTGAACTTTTAATTCGATTGTGGTGGTCCTTGCAGACCTTCCTTCACATACAGTTATCGGAATGCCAGCTTTATCTCCTACAATGGTAAGCTAATAGATCTTTGAAATAGTTGTGATACTTCCTTTTTCTGATTATGTTATCTTCTCTGTTAAGATGACCTACATGTATGCCTACTTCTGTCCAGACTCAAGGTAATATTGCTAAGTGGAGGAAGAAAGAAGGAGATAAGGTCAGTTGTATTGAAAGTTGGTATATTATGTGATCTGTTGAAGCTAAATATTGTGACACTAATAGATTATTGCATAAACTCAAATCTTTTTGTTGAAACTTATATATTAGACCATTGACTGCTTCTGCACTTTTTGTTCATTTGAGTGTTAAATATGTGATCTAACACATATAACTGGGTGACGTGATATGTGAAATAGAAACCGACAAAGCTACCCTTGAGTTTGAGTGTCTTGAAGAAGGGTAATTCTATGTTCACTCTCTTATTTTATATGTTGGACAACGCACTATGTTCATATGCCATATTTGTGTTGGTTAGTATTAGAGCAAAGCACATTTTCATCAAAGTTTTCCTTGGCAAAGATAATGGGAATCCTTTCTTCGTCGGGTGCTTCCTCCAAAAATTGTTTTCTTTGAGTTTGTTGTCTCTATTGTTTCCTGCAGTTATGCTTTGGCACATCATTGTGGCTTGCTTTCCAATTATTTTCAGCATTCATTGTCAATCCTGATCAATAGTTTTCGTAAACATTTAGTTCCGTGACGTCAATTTTGAATGGAATAACTGGATAGCACTGATAAAAATATCCTTGATTTATGACTTCTTAAACTTTTACAGTATTTGGGTGGAATCTTATCTTCAGGTTTCTGGCTAAAATAATGGTACCTGAGGGTTCAAAAGATGTGCCTGTGGGACAGCCAATTGCAATTACGGTAACTTGTGATACTGCTCAACATTTATTCCATTTATATTTGGGATATATTATATCCTCTTGAGTAAACACACCATGTGCACTTTGTTTTTTTCAGATTTTTGTAAAAGGTTTTTTTATTATTTTTTGAAACTATTTCTATTATATAAAAGGAAATATTTTATTTACGTTAGAGTTCTTAATTTCTATATTAGACACAAGGATCAAAATTTCGTTTCGAAGTACCGTTTCGGTCAACTCAAAAATAGAAACGTTTCGGAAACATTTCGGAAACGCAATGGAAACGCATAGAAACACAAATGCAATCCATTAATTTATAAAGATATGCTAAATAATTTATTAATTCAACATATTTATTAGGTTAACATCAATTTATACAAGAATAAATTTAAATTTGAGGGAAAAAAAGGCTTGACTTGAGGCGAAAGTCACTTAAATTAGTTTCAAACACTTAATTTTTATGAAATAAACACATTTTTACATAATATTAAGGTCTTATAATACACATGAAATGCTAATGAGTACATACTTACATGGTTACATCCATTCCCCTGTGGAGTGTCGAGCAGGCTCATACATCGGTGTAGGCTCTGGGTAGCTACTTAGAGAAACTCCATATGTGACATAAATATGATGACAATAGTTACTCCAAATCATATTATTACGGTAATATAATCCAATTAATAATACTATTTTATTATAATACTAATAATGAAGGGTATCAAATTAAATTAATGATACTTATGTATACTTAAAAATTAAATGTAATTGCAGTGGGTATTAAATGTAATTACAGTAGGTATTAAATATAATTATATTAGGGTATTAAATGTAATTGTTAATACTTATAACAAAAAAAAAAAGCAAAAAACTTGCACAGCAGTGAGGTATTAAATATAATTACAGTATGTATTAAATATATTATAATGGGTATTAAATATAATTATAGTAGGGTATTAAGTGTAATTATTTATTCTTATAACAAAAAAATTATAAAAGACAGAAGAGCAGTGGGAATTAAATGTAATTATAGTGGGATATTAAATATAATTATAGTGAGTATTAAATGTAATTACAGTGGGTATTAAATGTAATTACAGTGGGGTATTAAATGTAATTATTCATAATGAACCGAATATATCACTGTTTTGTCGAAACGGTTCGAAACAATGCCGTTTCGACCGAAACGGTCCGAAACAGTACCGTTTCGACCGAAACACTGGAATTTTGTGATTCAACTACTGTTTCGTTTCGGAGTGTTGAAATTCCGAAACGTTTCGGACGTTTCGGACGTGTCGACACGACATTTTGATCCTTGATTAGACATAAGTTAATTAGTCTTGGGTAATATTGTAATTACCTTAATATTGTTCAGTTATAAATAGAGAGTGTAGGGCAACCTAGCCACTATAACTGATTATTCTTTCTTTCTCTGCCTCATTATTTCTCCTCCTATTCTCTCGTAAGCCTAACCCTAATATCACTTTAGTATTTCAAATTGGTATTAGAGCAATCGAACAATCACTGAAAATAGATGAGAAGTTATCTTATATTTCGTTAGTTATCTTATGTTTTACACCAGTAACAGTAATTTCCAATGTCTTAGCTCCTTCTTTTTCTATAGTCCATTTGTTGAAAACATACTAACTTCAACCGTTTCATTAGGTTGAGGAAGCTGAGGATATACAAAAAGTCCCTGCTACTGTTGCTGGTGAATCAGAGGTTGAAGAGAAAAAATTGTCTCAACAAAATGTTGGAAATGAGGACTGGGAGCAAGAAACAAGTTCTGTGAAGATTAGTGCATCTGAGCTTCCTCCTCATGTTGTTCTTGAAATGCCAGCATTATCTCCAAGCATGGTAAGAAAAGAAAAGTTCAGAACAGATTTAAGCTAATATGTCCTGCTCAGTTGTGTTGAATTTTCTTTCTCCTGTTGAAGCTTAAGATTGCTATTCTTTGTTTCCCTGCAGAACCAGGGTAACATTGCTAAGTGGAGGAAAAAGGAAGGTGATAAGGTTAGTTATGTTTAATGTATGCATTAAATTTGCAAATGTGGTACATTCTCCATTTGAATTGGTGAATACTGGTTTATTACATCTCTATTGCTTCTCATTTTTGTTTTATACTTGATCTAACAGATTCAGGTTGGTGATGTGATCTGTGAGATAGAGACAGACAAAGCTACCCTAGAATTTGAATGTCTTGAAGAGGGGTAATATTCTGCTAGAATGTTGTGTTTCCGCATATTATATTTTGTTTATAGATGTCAAATATTGTGTGGATCTGCCTTTTCGTACTTATTATTGATCACTGCTTTGATAATTTAATCATTGTATGGAAGAGAATGTCACGAGGGTGATACACAGTTTCCAAAACGGAAGCCTAGAAACTTTGAAATGGATTTAACTGAGCTTGAGTGTTTCCAATAGCTGTATGTGTCAACGTTTCTGGCTGAGTAAAGGAGACTAGTGGCACTAGAATAGTGCCCACACAATCTTGTTATTTACTATATATAATTATGACCTATCTTGAATAACTTTGTTCTTTGGGGGGGGGGGGGGGGGGAGGTTGGGAATTATTTATGTACTATATTCATCAGAATGAAGTTTTTGGTGCCTTTTATGTCATTGGCCTCGAAGTTTAAGCTTTGCATCTACTTGATGGCTACTTTTTCAGAACCTGACTTTTTAGTGATTGCTTTGACGCAGATGAATGACACTGAGGTGGTGTTTGGTTTGTGTCTCAAAACCCTTTTTTTGTTCTCAAAACACAAAATTTTGTGAGATGTTATTTGGCTAGTAATTTCCAAAAACAAATTTTCAAAAAAAGTGAGAAATGAGAACAAAAAATAGAGAACATATAAATGATGTTTTCTGACTTTTCAGGTCAAAATAGAAAACAAGGGAAACAATCCCTCCTCTTTAATGAGGTCCACCCATCAAAATTCCTTAGCAGCAAAATGCATTTTTTTTTGTTGAAGTATAAAAGCCCTCCCCTTATATTTTCTCCATCTCCTGTGTGTGTGTGTGTGTGTGCAACGAGCGCTGTGCAACGGAGATTGGAGCAACGAAGATCGCTGCTTTATTGTTGGAGTTTCTCTCTCCACTTCAGCAAATCCAGACGAAACACACACACACACACAACTTGGGTTCAAGAACTCCAACGATCTCCGGCGTCTTCTCCGTCCTCTCCAGTTCTTTTTTATTTTCTGCATCTGGGTCCAAGACACACATACACACAGATCTCCAGCGTCTTCTCTGTTTGTGTACTCAGATCTGCGTCTTTCTCTCTCTCGCAACAATTGAAGCTTCAAATCTGCACAGATCTGTGTACATACACTGATATGTGCTCAGATATATGTATATACAGATCTGTGTGTACGCGTTTGTGTCTGTGTGTCTGTGTGTATATGCGTGTGTGTGTGTGTTTTGTGAATACAGAGAGAGGGGAAAGAAAGATAGAGGTGAGAATTGTGGGTTTTGTGAATTATTTTACAATTTTTTGTTATTTAAAACTATTTTCAAAAATATATAACCAAACAGGTCTAAAATTTTCAAGAACACTTTCTTAAAATTCTTCTAAAAAATTATTTTCGGATACTGTTTTTTGAGATGCAAACCAAACAGGCCCTCCTTTGGATTTGAGCTACCCCTGAATAATTATTCTTACATTTTTCTACATCCTACTGGCTGCAGGTTCCTTGCCAAGATACTGGCACCGGAAGGCTCAAAAGACGTGGCCATGGGACAACCAATTGCAATAACAGTAAGTTGTTACAATGCTTGAAATTGTATGGCATAATTTTCTTCTTCTTTTTTTTTTTTTTAAAAGGAGAAAAATATATTGAGTAGAAAAGATATTACAGGAAGCAAATAAACACAGCTTAACAAAACAAGAGAAGCCATTGTTGGCTTAGCTTTCAAAAGGACAAAAAACGTCTTAATAATGGGAAATGAATGCCAGCAAAAGACCAGCTGAAAATCCAGAATAAATCCAGCTGGAAACCAGCTGGGAAACCAAGGAAACCACCAGCTGCGAGCACCAAAAGCAAGACCATCTGGAAGCCGCAAAAACCAGCTGAGATTCCAGCTGGAAAACAGCAGCTGAAAACCAGCAAAGCAGTATGCCAGTCACAACTGCTGAACCAGCTCCAAATCAGAAGCACAGCTCAGCAGTCCCCCCAGCACAGCCACAGAAAACAGCACATCAGACCCCATAAATGCAACAGACACAGCATCATGAAATCAGCACCTATGAGAAGGCATTAAACCTAAACACCTGCTGCAACTGATGAAACGGCTGCTAGAACAAAACCAGCTGCACTGCCTGAGTGTATACACAGTCAGCACATCAGCTGCCTCCTGGCACCCAAAAGACAGCGCAGACCAACTGCCCATAACAGACAGCACACACCTCAAACATTCATCAGCACAAACAGCATAGAAACATCCCAGCAAACATCAGTCATGCATTCCAAACAACACAAAACACTAGAGCAAAAAAAAATCTGCTTAAGAGATCAGCTGAAAAGGCCTCTGCAATCCTGAAATGCTGACAGAAAACCATGACAGAAACACAGCAGAGAGAGAACTGATTCCCATTTTGTATCCTCAAATTTCATGAATTGGCTTTAATGCTTCAAGAGAATCAAAACCAATTTTACTTTCATTCATAAGTACTTTTAACCCTTGTCATCAAGCACCAACATCCTCTTTTTCCTTACCACAGGCAGACCCTTCAGATCTTGTAACATAGCTAATTTCAGAGCAGCAGGCAAGTGCATAGACCCAGTAAAAGAAGAAGAAAAACCATTCTGAACTGCTTTATTGGCCAAATGATCAGCTACTGAATTTGCCTCTCTATATACATGTCTCACCTGAAAAGTTAATCTACTGAGTTTGTCTCTGATCTGATCTAAGACAGACCACAGAGACCAAGCACAGCAGAAATCACCCAGCATAATTTTCTTCTTTCATGAGCTGCAGGTTGCATTTTTTGCCCATTAATTGAAGCTATGGGGATTACTTCCATTTTAGTTTTCCTGACAGTTTCTTGATTACTAGAATCCAACAATCCATATCTATCTCTAAATTGTATAGGTATTGTAGGTGTTCTGGGTATATGGGAACTGATGTCATCTGTTTTGCAAGGTTGAGGAGCCAAATGATTTGGAAACTGTGAAGACATCTTTTAGTGGCAATTGGATGGGAAAAGAGGAAAAGCCAACCCATCACGAGGCAAAACATGAAGGGAGAACACAGAAAATTAGTTTCACTAGGATTAGTCCATCAGCAAAGTTGCTAATTTTAGAACATGGATTGGATGCATCATCATTAACAGCGTCAGGTCCTCGTGGCACTCTCACAAAAGGGGATGTTTTAGCTGCAATAAAGTCTGGCAAATCATCTCCAAAGATATCTTCATCGCTGGAGAAGATGCCTCCATCACCTCAAATCCAACCACAAACATCTTCAGAATCGGCAGGATTGAGATCTCAAGATTCTTATGAAGATTTGCCTAATAGTCAAATTCGGAAGGTAATTCTTATAAGACCGTTGAAAAACTTTACGAGGTTGTGCTGGTTTAGGATTGTTTCTTATGTGGTTGTCGAATCAACAAACTATACAGTACATGGAGAACTCGGATCTTTGCTTACACAGATAATTCCCATCTAACGTTTTGCCTATAATGCCCGAATACTTAAAAATGAAGTGAAGAAGGCATTCCACGATGGCAGACTATAATTATTGTAGAAAATGTTGGGTGGTCAAGTAACGTCTCGGATTATAATCGAGAATTTCACTCAAGGATGAATGTTGTAATGTGATTGAGTATTCTGAAGAGGTTGTCAATCGTTTGCACGTACTTTACCTCTGCTAAAAAAATTTCTTCCATTTTGTAAGTTTGCCCATTGTAGAATGTGGGATTTTAATTGCAACATGTTGTTTCTAAGTCTGTGTTTAATGTGTTATCCACACCAGACACAATAAAATACAGTCATTTTATTTTGATCCACGTTTTAGTCAAAATTTGATTGCATTTGCATTCACGAGGGCTTTCTTGTAGAGTATCTAAGTTGCAGTGGTTCAGTGTGCTTCAAAATTCATAGTAGTTTTGCAGGTGATAGCAAGAAGGTTGTTGGAATCAAAACAAAATACACCTCATCTATATTTATCCTCAGGTTTTAAAACTTCTATTGACTAGTGACACGTTTTACTGTCACGAATTTATGCTCTGAAATATTTGATGGTTTCTGACAGATGTTATACTGGATCCTCTTCTATCTTTTAGAAAGGAGCTTAAAGGTATAAGATTCAAATTTCAGCCTCATCACTCTTTGTTTTAAAGCATTATGATGAATAGGGTTCCGCCCTTCTATGTGTCACAGCAAAATAAGATGTCAAAGTGTCCGTGAACAACATTGTCATCAAGGCTGTTGCAATTGCATTGAGAAATGTACCTGAAGCAAATGGTAAGATGTTTCTAATCATTTACTGGTCCAAACTATATTTTCTGGTGACAAGGTGATTTGATGATGGTCAGTTGCTTGTTGATAAGCAGATTCAAGCACAAAGGTCTAATCACAAATTGGTTGTGTTCTTACATTTTAAATGAATCCTTTCCCACTTTAGTTGTTGTTTTATGCTCTACCAAGATGTTCTTCACACCAAATACATGATTGGCATGTTGGAAAACCTCTCTGGTGTACTCATGAAAAGGAAGAAAGAAAGAAACCTTTTTTCTTGTTTTGGTTTCATTGAATATATTTTCAGCTGAAGCTCAATGTTGTGTTGAATTGTCATAAGTCATTGGAAAACATGATTTCCCCAGCCAACAAAGCCTAGAGATTATTACAATGATGGTCCATGTCTCACTCCAAGTTTCCCTTTCTATGGCATACAATATCCGAGTGGAAAGAATAAAAATATTCCTTTTTCTTTTTCTCTAATAGTCGTTGTTCTGATGGCATCGTGCTTAGGTTCCAGTGCTTGGTGCAATGGCAAAATGTCGGGTTTCAAAGCATGAAAAAGTGGGTATGAAAATTAGGGCAGCCACTTTGCAAATAATGGCAAAGGCTTGGTGCAATAGGTTTGGTGGGAGTTGGGACCAGGAATAGGTGAAGGGCCTCTAACTTCATGCCCATGCTTCTAATCCAGGGTAACTTGGGAATTGGTATTAATGATATCTGATCAGAGATGAGAACTTTATGAACATGCAACAAGAATACTAAAATTTAGTTGAAGGAAATTTTAATTTGTAGATTGTGTGAGGATTCCTTTATGGGTCCTCTATTCTGCAATGTGTACGATTAATTTATACTATTTATAAATGTTAGCATCTGTTAAAAAATTTTGATTTCTTAATTTATCCCTAATTATTATTATAAAGTCAATTATACCCAATATTACTTTCATCTGATTTTTATTTTTAATAACTATTTGACTTCTAAGTTCTTTTGGACTCTTTTATTTGTAACATTTAACTTACAAATTGTTGTGGACTCATTTATTAGTAGTACACTTACATATAGTTTCTATATCAGTTTCTATTTATACAAAAAAAATAAAGTCCAATCTATGTTCTATTATAATATAAATGTTGTTGGTAGATCTAATTTTACTATCAAACATGTCATATTTGATTTTTTTTATTTAATAATATCATTATATTATAATATAAACAATAATTTAATCAATTTCTTTGACAAAAATAGAATAACATATTTAGATGTGCAAATACTTATAAATGACAATCTTACCAGAACTATTTTATTAATAACATTTGACTTCTAAGTTCTTATGGACTCGTTATTAATATACTTACATATAGATTCTATATCTATATCTATTTATATAAAAAATAAAGTTTAGTCTATATTCTATTGTTATATACATGTTGGCTGATCAAATTTTATGATATTTAAATCTATTTATATAAAAACTTAAAGTCCAATATATATTATATTATATTATTATATATATGTTGTTGGGAGATCAAATTTTATTGTCAAATATATATTACATTAAATTTTTTTTTGTATGCAACAATATCATAATACAAACAATAGTTTATAATTAATCAATCTCTTTTATAAAATAATATAATAATATATTTACATATGAAAATACTTAAAAATGACAATCGTACAATGAAACTCTACTATAAACAATAGAGAAAATGTTTAAAGAATCTGAAAGTATAATTTGGTGGTCTATCCTATACCATTAGAACCCTATACCATTAGAACGGGTTTTGAGTCTAGTTATTATCATTTTTGTGCGGTTTGTCCAACAACAACGAGATTACTATTACCATATCTATTTTTCTCCTGATAAACCAAAATTCACTTCAATCTACTTTAAAATCAATCAAAAACTCTCTTAGCAATCTCTCATAATCTTTCAATCATCCAAAACAAGTTTGGACATCAATGTAGACAATTTAATTAAGTTCTTTTAGCAATTAAACCATAATTTCTGTTTGTAAATTTAAACAATTTCATCAACTAAGAATGAAATTCTACTTATTTCCTTGATGAAAACTCCACCGAATACACTCCTATTTATCCAGATATTTCACCAAGACATGCAAATACTTAAATTAAAGGATTAATTACAAAATGTCACCTTCATGTTTGGATTATGTTGCAATTGACTCCGTCAGGTTTCAAATTTGACAATTTACCCCCTCTAAGTTTGAATAATTTCCAATTAACTTTTACCATTAGTTAACCACCGTTAAAAATAACGGAAGTTTATTAAAAACCCAAAACCACCCTCATCTTAATATTTTATGTAAAACTAAAAATAAAAAGAAAACATTCCTCCCCTTCGGTGAATACACCTCCCTCCCTTTCTAGTGAACCCACGACACCGCCTGGGCTGGGGATGAAGCGAACGTCAAGGGCTACCCGAGGGACACTCAGGACAAAGACACATCCCGAAATCGCCGAAGAAGCAGTGAAAATTGACGAGGTTTCGGTGGTAGTTAAAGACGAGATGAAAGTTGAAGTTGTTGTTGAGGAGAAGCCACTGGCTGCGGAGGAAAAGGCCATGGCGGTGCCGGTTCTGGTGCCAGAGGTGGAGAAGAAAACAGAGGTGACCAGAAATCAAAACCTATCTCCCTCCCCCTCTGGTGAACCCACCTCCCTACCCCTCCGATGAAACCGAAACCCACCCCCACCCAAACAATCCACCTACTTCCTCCTTCCCCCTCCGGTGAACCCACCTCCCTCCCCCTACGATGAACCCAACTCTCTCCCCCTCCAGTGTAACCGAAATCCACCACCACCCAAACAATCCAGCTCCCTCCCCTTCCGATGAACCCACCTCCCCAGTGAAAATCGAAACCCACATCCCTCCCCTTCCAGTGAAATCAAAACCCACCCCTACCCAAACAATTGAAATCCCTTCAATGAAACCGAAACACCAATACACCAAAACACCAGTAAAATCGAAACATCCATACACACCACCCTCAAGTAACTACCCTTCCTTCCCTTATCCGGTGAAACCGAAACCCACCCCTAGTAATAGCCTCCAAACAGCCCCAACCATATAAGAAATCTACTCACTTTTGGGCAACACCCATTTGAGGAGAGAGAGAGAGAGAGAGAGAGAGGAGGGATTGAGAGCTTCGTCGGAGCTGGCATGTGGGGGAAGGAAAGGCTAGAGCTGGGAAGAACATTGGGTGCACTGTTGGACTTAGGATGGAGTTGAGTACAAAGCAAAAATGAAAAAAAAAAACTGATGTTGGGGTAATTTAGGAAGTTCACATTTTTCACCCACTAAATCAATTAATTTAGTCCCAAAAAAAACTTTAAGGGGGCAAATTGTTGAATTTAAAACCTGAGGGAGTCAATTGCAACATGACTCAAACGTGGAGGGGACATTTTGTAATTAACCCTAAATTAAATTTCTAAATCTTAAGGAATTATTCTGCAAGCAATCCATTAAACTAAGTATAACAAGATAAAATAGACTATAATCAACACAAGCCCTTACTAGATGCATACAACCATGACATTCAATCTTTAAAAAAAATTGATTTTTAGATCTTAATAATCAATTTCAACAATTAGAGTAGTGCTTACTTCTCCAAAAGTTTTTTAATCCAACTAATAGAATTTTAAACCCCAATTGTCATCAAACCTACAAGAAAAACTAGAAGAAATGTCAACTTCTATTGCTGCTGAATTGATAACCGAGAGAGAGAGAATGCGTGGACGATGGACGACATATGCCAAAAGATGTCTCCTACGCTTTTGTAATATGCTACTCTAGTCATAAAAGGTTTTAATGCCAAAATATAATTTTGACCCCGTTATTTATGATTATTTTTATTATCTTATCTCTTTTATTTTTTAACTTCAATTAAATTTTCCTTTCATCATTAGTTTTATTTAAATGCAATGTCATGCATGCTTGGGTCTCACAAGCATCCTCTTAGCTAGGAGATTTTTTTCACAACGAATTTAACTACTGCACCAAAATGTATTCTTTTAGTATCATACATCTATTTTTTTAACAATATTCTAACTTTTGCTTGTAGTTCAACAATTAGAGGTATTTAAATTAATTTACATGTACTTCGATTACTTCTTTTTTCGGACTGATCAAAGATAAACCATCCATACCGAGATTATAATATTTATAAAAAGTAAATTTCTCATGATCTTACCATAAAAAAATATTAAGATTTAAATTCAAAATATCTGAATTAAAAATAAAAAAAAAATGAAACGGATGTGGTTCGCCGGCAATCATTTATTTGTTACAATCATAACAAACTTATAACAAAAAATAGTTTTTATTTTGGACGTATATATATATACATATCACTTTAAAATATCAACATCTTTAAAAAAACATTTTTTTTTCATTTTTATCCCCCAAAGCAACAAATATATCAATCCTATCCTTCAAAATTAATGCTGACCTAAACCTAAATCATCAATTCACCGTTATTATGTCTCTAAGCTTTGCTGCCATTACTTCTCCATCTCTCTCGCTCTCTCCCCTCCTAACATACTATTATTATTCATCTAAATTAATGCCTTCTTAAACATAACTCATCAACTAACCCTTACTTCCTCTTATTGTTTTCTGCTGTTATTCTCTCTCTCGCCTGCCTCATAACTCCTCTGTCGTTACTTATCTCTCTCACCCTCTCTTCTGAGTATTCTCCGCTCAGTCCTCCCTCTCTTCACCTTCTCCATCTCCATTTTCCTCTGTCTCTCTGTAATTGTCCTTCAGGGTTTCTCCATTGCTTTGGCCATTATTGGAATTCAATTGTAGAATTTAATTTATCAATAAAATGCCTTTCTCTCTTCACCCTTTTCTATCAGACGCCCCAGCTTTGTTTATTGGAACTGTGCAACCATTGGTCTATAGCTTGATCAGGTAATTTGTTTTAGTTACGATGATACCTAAAATAAATTTCAAGTGCTAAGCTCTGGAGCTCAGGCACATTAGCAGAGGTCAGAGGGTAAGGGCCGAGTGTCTCTTAAGGCAAGATAATAGCCGGATAACCACGAGAGGATCCTAAAGCGTTAGGAACTTGTAATCAAGACACTCAATCTCAACCAATCAAAATCTTCTCCTAGAATTAAGGAAAAACCCATGAAATAAGGGCAAAAATCTCGGCTAAGATCCTTCTTAGCAGGAAATGACCTTATAAATACAAGGTAACACCCCCTAATAGAAAAAAAAAACCCGAGTAGCAAAAAGAAGTCATAGCAACCTTGTAATCACCGTGAATAAAAAAGAAGAAGCAAGAGCCTTCATTCTAGAGTAGACTAGCCGAGCTCCCAAACTGGTAAACCACTATAATTCTGTTGTCTTAACTTCCAAAGCCCTAGATATTATGGCATCATCTTAGCAACCTAACGTAATCTAAGCTTAGTTTTTGTAAAAGTGCGCTAACACCATCAGTTTGGCGCCATCTGTGGGAACGACTGTTCCTGTTACAAATAAAGCTGATTTTTCAGTGACTAATGGTATCAACGCGAAACATAAGCCGAAGTCAGACCAATCCTCTACGGATGCGAGATCAACAAGAAGCCGCAAATAGCAGACAACCCAAAACGCGCAAGCAGCCGATCCCCCCACGGGGGGCCTTCCCATGAATAATGAGATGGAGGCCCTTCGTCTTGTCAATGAACGTTTGATAAAACAGAACGAAGAGCTCTTAAAGCTCCTACAACGTCCACAGGAATTGCGACCGGCCCAAGGAGGCCAAAATAATCCACCACCAAGGGAGCAACTGTATCTCGACCCCCTCAAAGAAGTTAATGAGGTGGGAGAGAATAGCCAGACCTTGGGGCAAGAACTTTGCCTATCCCCTAGGAATGGTCACAACGAGGAAGTGTAAAGTCAGTATAAGGAAAGGGAGAGGAACGACTTCTTCCCTTATCAACAAGAGAAAAGAGAACACCCCTGGGAACAACGTTTCAAAGACATCTAGCAAGAGCTCAGCCAGATGAAGGTGGCAGTGAAGAGCAAGACCCCAGTCACTATGGATGCCTTGGTGCAGCAAATCGAATCCCCATTCACTATTGGAGTGTTACACTTTCCTCTCCCACCTAAATTCAGAATGCCGCAGGTGGATGCTTTCAATGGGACAAAAGATCCCGTGGACCACTTCAACACCTACAAAAATCAAATGGAGTTGCATGGATATCAAAATCCAGTGAGATGCAGGGCCTTTGCTATCACCCTGAAGGGCTCAGTCTTAGCATGGTTCAACAGACTCCCCTCAACCTCAATTTTCTCTTTTAAAGAGCTGTCAATCTCGTTTGTGTCCCACTTCATCAAAGCTCAAACCTATAGGAAACCGAGCTACCATTTGTTAAATGTGAAATAGGGACCTGATGAGAACCTACGGTCTTATGTCCAATGGTTCAACTCAAAATCTGTAACGCCCCAAAAACCACCCTGGAAGACATTACCTTCTAAAACCATTCATACCATGGGAACAACTAATAAAATTCATAAATAACCGGGGGTCTTTAATTTAATAAAATTCGGGCAGAGTCTCTTTTGTTCGGAAAGCTCTACCCAAAACACAACCTGTGCAATTATACTACATTGACCACATCGGGTCCATTTATCCCTAAAATATTTACAATATTATCCAAAAGAATAAGCCTAAACCAGGCTACTACATCAAAAGAATTACATTTGAACTTAGCAGCGGAATAAATAAAATACTAGACTTTACATGATTGTACATAATCGTTCCTAATCTAACACAAAAATAAACAACATCTCTAGATGTCCCACTCGGGATCCAAATACCCCTCTAATAAAGCTTCTCCATGGCCTGGCTCGTTAGCACCGAGCTCTTCTTCTAGCTCATAATCTGTAAAATGTTTAACTGTAAAGGGTGAGCACGAAGCTCTATAGGAAAAATTCTGCCAAACTCAAACAAGATTTAGAAAACAGATAAAAATCGGTCAGTCTCATTTCGTAAATAACATATATCAATTTTGAAGGAAAAATAGGACATTTTAAATAGATCCCAAGTTTAAGCCATAACAATAATCAAGTACAAGAGTAAAGTCAATCCCACCATAAATAACTATTTCAAAGAGTAATTATTCCCATAACAATTTCCAAGATAATCATATCCAAAAGATAAAACAATAAACAATAACCACAATGTATCTCAAGTCTGATGTAAGATAATCGCATGAATAAACATATAGAGAATATCCTGGCCCACACACACACAATTCCTTGCAAGGATATCAATTTTCGGAAGGGCGCCTACCGATGCATTGTCTCATACCAATGCACCGGCAATAACGAATCCGACCCAGACATAGTATACTAATCCTCTGACACGGCATCCGTGAGCTAATAGTGGTTTGGTCCTCGCAAGGCACCAACCCCACTACGAGTGGTAGGAAAAGTTTAAACCCGCACGGAGTAAGAACCACATACATCTACCCACTCAACGATACCCGGTCAACGGCCACCCATGGTCATTCAAACACCTCTATGAGATACAATCACCAAAAATTTCTCAACAAAAGTTCATAATTTTTAAAACCCTCAAATTCCATAGGTATTTCTCAAATCACATTAAATCTCAA